TCTTTCAGTTGGGCAGTTTACAAATATTGTGAAAAAATATCAGTGGTGAATTAGTGTAGCACAATTAAGGTTTTGCAGATATCTGGATTTGAAGGACCAGCTGTAAACTGACAGCATGTGCATACCATGTAGTACCTATTCAGAATATATTACACCAGCTGCATCTTTTCTGAGGTTCTTGTGGCTGTCTTTGCAGATGGCCCATAATTCTGGAAACATAAGCATTTGGTTAAGGCCGGAAATGGGCCCTTTTCCAGTGTTCCAGAACTTCTGGACGGCCCATTTTTTGCCCTCCCTGAGCCTCCACATGGGCCTTGCACTTACCTGTGATCCAAAACAGACCGTGTGGGAGGGGCGGTGTGGCTGGGGTCAGTCAGGGGTGGGATTTTCTGGTTCGCCAAACTGGCCATGAAATTAACAACCAGTTTGCCCAAATCAGTGCCAACCAGTAGCAGCCCTGCATAAATCCAAGTTATATTTTGTCCTTTCAATCAAAATCCCCACACAACCCTAGTATAAGTGTAATGCTGTAAACAAGGCAGAATGTATTTCCTTTAATAATACACTATTTCTGGAGGAGCATTGTACGGTACTTATATATAATATACAATAAATCATGGATTCTTACATTCTTTTACAGGGCCCAGACCAGCTGTTTTATTGGTACATGGTTTTCTTGGAGAAGGGAGATGTTGGATTGCAAATCTTCCTAGCAACAGCCTGGGATTTTTTCTAGCAGATGCTGGCTATGATGTCTGGATAATAAATCTCAGAGGGACCACATGGTCTAGGAGACACAAGGAATTTTCAATTTACCAGCAAGAGTTCTGGAATTTCAGGTAAATTTCAAGGAGAGTTGATAATGAAAATATTTGGTCAAGTCTACAAATTTATTGTTTTAGGGTGAATGTAAATTAAGAATAAGCATGTGCATATTATATTAGTCAAGTTAAAATGGATACAATAAGCATTTATTCGAAAAGCAATGTCACAAAATAGAAACACATAAAAATAAAATTTATTTCATTTAACCACCATATATTTTCATTCTAATTTATTCATTAAACACATTTGATTGTCATGGCAAAATATGTATTTTGAAGGCAGAAAGTAGGGAGGAAAAAGATATGTACATTTCAATCTGTTTATTTCTCATGGGCTACTGAAGCTCTTGCATATAAATTTAAGGTTAGAGTAAGATTCTTTGATAATCAAGATATCTAGGATATGGAAAAATATTACATGTATTTCTTGTAGATGCCAATCTTATTATATTACTAAATAATGTCTTGGTACTCCTCCCAATGAGTTTTTTACTACAAAAAAGTAGGCTTAAAGTCAAAAAAAGCAACATGGAAAGGTGGACTTAGGAAACAGGAATGGGAAAATGGAATTCTTTTAAAAAAGCAGTCAAATAGGTCTGCTAGACCTCATGTTGTGAATCTTTGAACTGTAAGCAACAGTTTCCCATGAAAGAAACAGTAATAAAAACTAAATATATATTTGGAGGCACTGGTTCCTGCAAGCAGGACTGTGCCATCTTTGGTGCTGGATGGACCCAGAGGGCAGTCTGGAGGGTCATCCTAGACTCACAACTCCTGTTTGAGGAGGAGGTGGCAGTCATGACTAGAAGGGTTTTTGTTCATCTTTTGTGCCAGCTTACACTCATTTGTGCTTTAATCACATCCAGATCACTATTGCATTGCTCTGCACGGTGCTGTCTTTGAAGAATATCTGCAAACTTCATTGACACAGAATGAGGGTGCATGAGCCATTATGTGCACTCTTAGAAGAGAGCATGTTACACCTCTGCTCTGCAAGATGCCAGTTTGCTTCCAGGTCTAATTTAAATCCTAGTTTTCATCTTTAAAGTCTCTGATGGCAAGGGACTGTGTCTCTCCCTAATTATATTGACCTGCCCAGTTTGATCTGGCAAAGAAGATATGCTGTACCATCAACTAGGGACCAAGAGGCTTGCTTTCCCGGCCATGGCAACCACCTTGTGGAACATTCTTCCCCCTGCAATTAAATTGGCTCCACCCTTTTGACATATTCAGATGTCTCCATTGTTGAAGATGCCAATCTCATCCTCCTAACCCTAATCCTAACCCTATCGTGTTGATTTTTATAGTATTATATCTGTTGTTTACCTGATTGTTGTATGCCATCCAGTTACATGTGATGAAATGGGCAGCTTTACAGATTTGAATAATATAAGATAGTGTAGCACAGGGGTGTCAAACTCAAGGCCCGTGGACCCGATCTGGCCCACAGGGTGCTTAGATCTGGCCTGCGCGGCCACCCTGGAAACAAAGAAGGACTGGCCTGTGGTGCCTCTGTCAGAAAAAAATGGAGCTTGAGAGGGCTTGACAGTTTCCTGTAGCTCTCTGTCAGTGAAAATGAAGCTCAGGGACCTCCATTTTCACTGGCAGAGGGCTGCAGGAGGCCATCACAGCCAAAAATGGAGCCTTGAGGAGTGACATCATGTCACACCCACCCAGGCCATGCCCACTCTGGCCATGCCCTGTGACCCCCTGAGTCAAACACAACCCTGATAGGGCCCTCAATTAAATTGAGTTTGATACTCCTGGTGTAGCATAGCATAGTATAAGTACAGTATATTATACAATAAAGAATACAATACTATACAGTACAATAATATAAATCCCTTAAGAGCCTTCAGTCAGTGCCCAACTGAATCACTATTACCAATACCAGATAGACATTGTTCTGGGCAAATCTACTTTGAATTAGTATTTTTTTAAATGGGGACAATTACAGCATGTGTATGGTTGAGGCCTTGATCAGTGGGTCTTGATCAGGTACCTCAACATTAAGGTCCAAGAATAATAAGAAACAAATAAAATTATAGTTGTGTATTTTTGTGTTACAGTTTTCATGAAATGGCAATTTATGATATACCAGCAACAATAAATTTCATCCTACATAAAACAAAACAAGACTCCTTATATTATGTTGGCCATTCCCAAGGAGCAACAATAGGTAAATTATATAACCTTGTTATCACTTTTTTCTGTTTTTCTATGTCTATAAAAGAAGGATCTAGCACTGCCTTTTCAATTGGATTGAACAACTGCAAGAAAATATCTATGTAAATGTGTTTGTTTTTCAGCTTATCCCCAGCATTCTTTGTCTCTGCTATGAAGCCTTCAAAATCTATCCTGATTAAGGGCTATTGATAGATATCCTCCATGAGGATGCCTGTCAAAAATATATAAATGCCATTTCAGCCAGTACAGAGTAGCCCTTGCAAATGCACTAAAGCAGCGGTCACCAACTGGTGGGCCGCAAGAAAATGTTGGTGGGCGGCAGAGAAATCTCATCCCCAGAGCAGTCCCCCCCAAAGGAATTAATCCAGGCTGCACAGAAACACAAGGCTTTGCTGCCCACATGGCCTGCAGGAACCCTCCCCACCCACTCACTCCTTTCCTGGCAAACTTGCCTGCTAAATTGCTATTTTTCTGACCATCAGCTGTTCTGCTGTGCCAGGAGATTTAGATTAGCTAGGAAGCAGGAAATGGTTGGATTTCTTGCTTTCTGGCTAGTCTTTAGATCTTTGACTCTGCTTTTAAGCATAGCCGAACCTCCCTTAGGACTGAAGGTTCTATTAGGCAAGCAAATTTTATGTGACAGACTGAGCTAGCTGATGGCAGATAGATAGATTTCTGAATGATCCTGTGAGCAACTCAATCTCCCTGCCTGCTTTGCCTGATTTTGGGTAAAAATTGCTCTTTTTTAAATAAAGAATTCAATATTTACATACATGGTGTGTTGTGAGTTAATTTTGTGAGTTTGCTTGCAAGCAAATTTTATGTGACAGACTGAACTAGCCGATGGCAGATAGATAGATCTCTGAATGAATCGGTGATTCTATGAGCAACTCAATCTGCCTGCCTGCTTTGCCTGATTTTGGGTAAAAGTTGCTCTTTTTTTAATAAAAAAATTCAGTATTTATATAAATATTTATAATATTTACATACAAGCCATGCCCAGCCAATCACATGACCACCAAGCCACACCCACATAACTGGTTAGTGGCCCCTGGGATTTAAAATTATGAGTTTGGTGGTCCCTGAGGTCCAAAAGGTTGGTGACCCCTGCACTAAAGCACTTTACTGAGGTTGGGTCACTTTGCTTCTTCTGAGATCAATCAGCTTCAAATGTCCACTTTATTTTCTGAACATTTGCTGAGGCCAATTATGGCAAGTGTCACATAGCAACCACA